GCCCCTCCCATTAAAAATACAGACTTAGGATCTGATATCTGCCCCGGGGGGGACGGGACCATATTTTGTGAAGGTTAAAAGGTAAAGGGGCCCCTGACCATTAGGTCCAGTTGTGGCCGACTCTGGGGTTGCAGCGCTCATCTCGCTTTATTGGCTGAGGGAGTCGGCGTACAGCTTCCGGGTCATGTAGCCAGCATGACTAAGCCACTTCTGGTGAACCAGAGCAGCGCACGGAAATGCCATTTACCTTCCCGCTGGAGCGGTACCTATTTATCTACTTGCACTTTGACGTGCTTTTGAACTGCTAGGTTGGCAGGAGCAGGGACCGAGCAATAGGAGCCGTCCTTCTGATCGGCAAGCCCTAGGCTCTGTAGTTTAACCCACAGCGCCACACGCGTCCCTTTATTTAGGCCAATAATTGATGGAGATGGGAGAGGCCTCCATAGGCTTGCATTATAAGGAATAATACCTGCAATCCTATTCATGCCTGCTTGGAAGTAAAGAAACCCAATAAACTATGGTGATCCAAATATCAGTGGCTTGGATGGAGCCTATCAATAGTTACCTTAACGCTCCACAACATTTCCCCATCCCATTACGGACAAAACAAAGTAAGCTCATGAGGCACTGCTCTTTAAATACAGGTGATATAGAAAATCACTCCAAGTATGTGAAAAAGTGAATTTACAACAAGCATAGGAATTCAACAACTGGAGGAAGGTGGTTGGGAGTAAGCTGCTTATCTTGGGAGGTGATAATCCATCTCTGGAAAGGTTAATAAGACACTACTTGAAACTGATGCACGTAGAACTTCCTCAGAAGATAAATATCAAAGTGTACACCTATCATAGTTTAATCTTTTGGAGGCAGGCCTGCAAGTCTCAGTTCAAAAGCCCACACATAACAGATTAAGGGCTAACTTTGCTGCACTGAGGAAGAGCTCTGTTGCTTCTCCTCCCTCCACTTTTAAAAGTGTGAATGTCACGCACAGGAAGAGCCTCCACCAAACTGGCGGCTTCCAGATGTTTTGCACTACAATTCCCATCAGCCCCAGCCAACAAGGCTGTGCTGGCTGGGGCTGATGGGAACGGATCCAAAACATTTGGAGGGCACCAGTTTGGCAAAGGCTACACAAGAGGAAGAGACGGTTAGCTTGGGAGTTGAAAGTGACCAGTCTCAAAACAAAAATATGAAGAAGCCTCTTGGCAGTTTCACTTTAGTTAGGAACTTGGCCAAGATCAAAGTCTGAAGAGTGCTTACTTTGAGAGCAACAGAGATAGGGATTCTCTTGTCTTTGTTTGAGACTGCTGAAGTTCAGCTCCTACAACAGGCACAAGCTGCTTGCTGATGCTCAGAGCTTCAGCATGGCAGATAACTGGGTGGGTCGCATTGTTCAACTCCATTTATGTTGCGGATACTGCTTAACAGTTGCCAGGGATATTTACTTACTGACTTACACAAGTCTATTCTAGAGGGTACTCCAAAATTACAATGGCTCCATTAGATCATGAAGCAATACCATTTTCATAGCAACAGTATGTTGTGGATTGTTGGGTCTGAAAGAGAAGTTCTTCATCTGAGAGATGTCTGGATTCCTCCCACACAAGACCTGAACAACACGTAAACCATTGTAGCACAGTAACAATTGATCATCTGGAAAAGTTACATTATTCACAAAATTTGCAGACTTTTCATTTGATGCAAGTTGCTTTAAGAACATAAGGAGAGCCTGCTGGTCCATTTAGTACAGTATCCTGTTCTCATAGGGATGGCCTGTCCTGTTTCACCACCTGAAGCAAAATGAGAATTTGCTACTCCCTACCCTCCGCCTCCCCACTTCTGCCACTGCTGGAAAGCCCACCCCCACTCTTCTTCTTTCCCCAGGGATGCAGAAGACAAGCAACAATGCCACGTGCCAGAATGCCTCCTTCTCACCAGCAAAAGGGTGGCATTCCAGCGGCAGCAGAATTGGTGGGGCAGGTGGGGCATCGCCTTTTACACTTCTGCCGCCTGAGGCAGGTGCTTCACCCCACCTCATCAGTGGGTCTGCTCTGCTCAGTGGCCACAAAGATGCCTATGGGAATCCGCATGCATTGCTGAATTTTGTCCTTGCAATACTTTATTTCATTTCTAAACTGTTCTTTACCTGTTGATTGCAAGATGGTGTACAAGTACATAAAATTCCACATAATGCAAGTACAATAAACGTATTAAATCATGATAATAAATGCTATGCACCACTACACCAGGGTACAACCAGAATCTCAATAAGGTGCTGAACTTTTCATTATTGCCACTAATATTTACATGTTGCAGATTGGGGTCATTGAGAAGAGGGGGGCTGGCTTCATCAAGGAGTCCGCCAACCATTGTTGTTATTATATTGTGTACATTTGAGCTGTATATAGAAATGACACATGTGGTACCTCTTGCATTTCACCCCCTTTGGGCTCTGCTATTTTTTTATTTTACATATTTTTATTAAAAATTTATTGGTTTACAAAAGTATGCGCAATGTCTCTTTTTTCAAGTTACATTTTCTACAGATCAATTTCATTTGTTGAGACATTAGTGTTACATTAGGAAGAAAAGAGGGAAAGATGTGGAGGGGGGCATGGTGAGTGGGGCTCTGCTATTTATACTTTTCCATTATTGTATATATCTACCCACTGCAGATCTTCATGCACACAAAGGGGGCTCCAGTCCATGAAAGTTTCTGCAGCTGTAAATCTGCTTGAAGATGTCACATGATAGGACTTGAATATACAACTCCCAAGTGCAACTTTATATTAACTGCCTCTCAAGTGCTTTCAATGATTATCAGGAAGGTTAAAATGGGAAATTTGGGCAGCTAAGACCAGGCCAACCCAATCAGGGTGTGCATGAGTAATATTTGAAGTTGGGTAGCACATGCAGATGGAATTCTATAGCCGCATACACAAAAGTTCCTCCTTAACCCTCTTTGCTTTCCTTTTACTGAATTAAATTGGGACTTTTTTATTTTGGTCACTCCCATGTGCATCACATAGTCCTCTCTTTTGGCATGCACCATGCTGTCTACAAACAAGTAATTGTGTGTGTGTGTGTTTGAAGGCAGCTTGAAAGAGAGATCACTGCTCTTGGCATGTGCAACCCCACTTTAGCATCTTCTAAAGAGGATTTAGTATTGTTTCAACCCCCCCTTTTATGCCCGTGACAACAACGGGGCAAAAGGTTATGTGTATATGAATGTTTGTGTGTACACATTTGAAGCTTATGGACTATGCAGAACTGCATACCCTCCAACATTACTCCGATCAAAATAGGGTCACCCCATTCCTTAATGATAATTTTACTGTTTATACCCTACACATCTTTCTGGGTTGCCCCCAGCCACTCTGGGCAGCTTCCAACACACATAAAAACATAATAAAACCTTAAAAATCTATTAAAACTTCCCTATACAGGATTGCCTTCAGACGGATTGGGGGCCAGATAACTCCATACCCTCCAACATTTTTCTGTTGAAAACAGGGACATCCTAATGGAAAACGGGACATTCCGCGATCAAATCGGAAAAACCAGGGCTGTCACTGGAAAATAGGGACACTTGGAGTGTCTGAAACTGGCAAAATTAACGGCAAAATTAAGAGAATCTAATGATGAGTGTTTTGTGGAAGAATGGATGCCCTTTTTGGAGTATTTAAAGAAATAGCATAGTACCACGAACTCGCGAGCAGAAACCTATAAAGAATAGAAGTAACTAGCTTATACCGTGGTTATGATTTGATAGATAGAAGGCAGGAGAGGAGAAACAACTCTATGGGAAAAAGGAGGAAAGCGTCAAAAAAGAAGAGAGGAAATAGTGTTTTGACTGTTGGATGTTAAACATGTTGAAACTGAATAAAACATAACTGGGGGGGGGACCCCCGAAGAGAAGCTTATCAAGACACACAAGGCAAGCGGGTTTGGGGAAAGTCACGAAAGGTCGTCGGATTGTTTTTTGTTGCGTTTTATTTCTACTTCCAGGGGTACGAGAGGCTTGTGGGCTCCTCGGCCCTCGCCGCGCGACCTTCACAGGTTAAACTTGAGGCGAGTGAGAAGGAGGCGCCGTTCGCTTTTCCCGCCTCAGGGAGGCCTGGGCCTGGGGTTTCTCCGAGCTGCGCTGCGCGTAGTCTTCCGTCGGTGCCTCCTTCTCCTCTCCGGGTGTGTTCGGGTTGCGTGCGCCAGCCCTACCGGCTCTTTCTCCCCCCCACCGCCTGCCCCTCTTTCCCCGAGGCCTTGTGTGGGTGTTTCTGTGTCACAGCGCCCCCCCCCCCGGGCCACCATTTCCCCCTCCTCTCCACAGCAGGCGGCGGCGGCTACTGCCTCTACCTCTCGCCTCCCGCCCATTCTCCTCAGATGCCCTTTGCCGCCGCCGCAGGTTTATTATTACAGTATGTGGCTGCTCCCCTCCCGCCTCCCACCCCGCTCCGGTCTGGGCTGGCGCCGCGCCGCGGCTGTGCAGATCCCCTTGGCTGCGCTTCGCCATTGGCACCCCTCCCGCCAGCTCTGCTCTTTATTATTTGTCTGGAAAGCGGCGGCGGCATCCGCGGGTAAGGGGGTGGGCGTAGGGGGGGGTAAGGCGAGTGACCGGCGGCTGAGTTCACCAATGAGTGCCCTCCGCTGGGTAGTTTCGGGCCTCTGGCACAGCAGCGATTGGGGTGGGGGGGATGGGGAGGCTGGGAAGGAGAAACTGAACTAGTTCGAAGCCTCCGCTGCCTCCAACCCCCCCCTCCCTGCTGCTGGGTTTCCAGCATTCCCCGGTCTGTGTGCCCAGTGATTGGTCGGGTAGTTCTCCGTCTGCTAGACAGGAGCAGAGGAGGGGCGGGGGGTGGGGAGAGAGAGAGAGGTTGGTTGGGAAAAGTGGGGGGCGGGGGAGACTTTGAGCTGCAGATTATTGCAGACTAAGCAGTCTGGCTCTGCAGCAGCAAAGGGGGAGGGGGGTGCGCGCTTGCAAGCTGGGGGGGGGGGAGAGAGCTTGGCGCCCAGCCAGCTACCATCAGAATTAGCTCATTGTTCAATATAACCAGCACAGGCAACCAAAGCCTGCGAGAAAAAGGAGGGAGGGAGAGAGAGAGAGAGACCCCCCTCCCCGAGCTCTTGCTGTTGCCCCCACCCCCTTTTTCTTTTCTCCCACCCTCCCTTTGCAAGGCTGCCTCTGAAAGAGGTGCAGTCATTCCTACCCACACCCCCTTGCCCAACCCCCCTCTCCCCCCCTCTCCCCTTCTATAAATTCCCTGCTGTAGCATGCTGCCCTTTTTGAATCCACATTTGTGTTTCAGATCATGTAGAAAGGACAGAAAGTGAGGAGGGAGCGGGGGCTTTTGTCTGTAAGTATATACGTTTCCCCGTCCAAATGCACAGATTTTCCTTCTTCTTCTCCCCTACTCTTTCTTTCTTTGTTTGATTCCCTTTCCTTTCAGGGTTATTCCTCCCTCCCGCTTTCTTCCCTTCTTTTACTTGACTCTGCTGGGGTTTTAACTCTTCTTTTTGTAACACTCCCCCCCCCTCCATATTGCTTAACGTTTCCAAAGAAGGCAGTGTTGAAGAAGGAGAAACTGTGCAGCATATGTAGATTTAACTCTCTGTCTTTCTGCGCAAAGGGAGGATTTTTAAGCTTGGGATATTAATGGTTGCCTTGCCTTGGGTGTATATTTTTAGAAGCAGGCATTCTTCCTGCAACAGCCTTCCACACATTTGCTTGTGCAGCAGTTAAGCTTGGAATGAATTTTATATTTTAAATTATGCAAAAAAAAATTTGTATGTGTGTGCAGATTCTATCATCTCTGTTAGGTTGAAATTTGGTTTGCACAGAACAAGGTTAACATGTTTTATGTAGCATATCTTCTTTTTAAAAACAAAACCCCAGCAGCATGCAACCATATATTAAGTTTATCCCTGCAGTTTTCATGAAATTTTGCATGTTAATAAAACATACATTACAGATTAAACTGTGTGTATATATAATGAACTCACTCGGATGTCATTGAAGCTGTATTCAGAAAACTGTTAATCAGTTGATTTTCTTGTAGCCAATTGAATGAAACTCTCCTGCAAAATTGCACTGAAAGTTAATATTCTCACAGAGAAAGAGGTGTGAACTTGCATTTAGTGCTTGAGAGAGCTAGAGGTTATGTAATGCGGTACCATTTCCAAAAATATCCCCTCTCTGGGCTATTACGTTGTGAAAGTGTGACTGTAATGCTGCTGTCTTCAAGGAGGGAGGGGGGCGGACCCATCCGCTAATGTGTCTGAGAACAATGGACAAGCTATGCAGTTGGCACTGAATGCACTATTTTCGTCTTGTCTGGTTTTTAAAGTGGGTTAAGCATTAGATGTAGTGTACTTCAAAGAGTCCAGTGTGCTAAGAATAGCATAGAGTTTTTGCAGATCCAGGTATCGGGGATTCTGCTATCCTATAGTTAAGCCTATGGAACACTGAAGTGCCGAGAAACATGATGCATAAGCACATGTGGGAAGATTGATTTGCAAGCCTTAGACATGCATCTTCCTTGCTGTTTGTCAAATAGCCTTTTGTATTTTTAAATACAAATAGCCATTTTCTGTTTTAATTTTAATCTTTTGCAGAGTGTTCTCCCTGTGCTGCTCAAAAGAACGTGCAGCCCTAAGTCTTAATTGAACCTGAGAATGGTAAGATTTGTTTTATAATTTTATGTATTTATTAATTATAAAAAAGCTTCTGTTATAAAAATGAAATTGACATGCTTGTTGCAACACATGTTCATAACATGGCCTTTAAAAATGCATCCATTGGAATTTTGAGGATCTGCCATTCAATGAATAATGCACTTGAAAAGTCCTTGTGAGTTGGATTTTCCATTTCCAGGCCTTTTGAAGGGAAACCTGGAAGTTTCTCTTGAAATGAGACTCAGAACAAGAGGAACTCCTTTAATGCACCACATGCATTAAAATATGCAAAATAAAAACGCAGAGCAGCATGCTAGCATATCTATTATTCCTTTGCTTTTAAAAGGTCATCAGAGCTGGTGCAGAAATAATTTATATTTTGTCTATCATATGTTCTTGCCACACAGGAGCTTAATTACATAGCCTTTTGTAAAGTTTTATCTGGACATCCTTGGGCAAAGCAGTTTTAACCCAAATGTACTCTGCATGGTGGTGTTTATAGTTCTACAGAAGTACACCAGTTCTCTTTTCAGTATCATTTGTGACTTGGGTATTTGGAATTTTGTTTCCCCCACCCTCCTTATATCCCTTTCTCACATTAAAGAGATTGCCATAATGACCTCTAATGGCAAACTCTGATGCCAAGATTGCAAACTGAGGAAATGGGTGGGAAGAGGATGGCCTCAACAGTACCACATATATTAACCAATATATTATACTGTAAGGTCCAATAAATAATAATGATAACCAATGAATGAAGGGGTGGGTGGGTATTAAGCAATGGAAGGGACCAGATGTTTGTTGTCTGAGCATAGTCTGATGGGCCATTGTTAAAAAACATGGGAAGTCATGCGGGGTGACTCTTTTATTGCCTTCTGAGCACGTTTCCCTTCAAAACTTCCTCTATTACCAAAGGAGGAAAGTAATGCAGACCTAGCAACTTGACTGCAGTTACACTGCAATTACATTGTTACAAAATTGGTTCCAAAATAATAGACAGCAGGCGGGATAGATGTTGTGAAGAGATTTGTGTGTGGCAAGAGAAAAGGAAAAAACCAAACACCACAATCCTCTGTACGATTAACTCTTTTTAAAAGCTGTTTATTATATATTTCATTTGAATTGTTACTTATTTCATAAAATTTATACGCCGTTGGATTGTAAACCAAACAAAACCTCAAAGCGGTTTGCAAAAAAAAAGGTAAAACAAAAAAATTATCAGTTAATGTGATCATTTGTTTTTTAATTGTGTTTTAGGAATGTATCTATGTTTATTTAGTTGTTGAGTGCAACCACAGAATTGCAGGATATAGATAATAAATTTACTAATTACTTAGAAGTAGTAAGCCCCATTGAACACATGCACAGTCTTGCAGTGTGAAACAATTAAGCCAAAAAAATAAGGAATGCATGACAGATTCAACTTTCTCCAAAGCATAATGATTAGTACTTTATATAAATTATTGTAAATCCTTTTTCTTTCTGGAATCCTTTATCTATGAAGTGCTTTTCTCCTTTATTAAATTAACCATTGTGCTAGAAAGTTATTATTATAATTGTTATTATTTATTTAGATTTATCAGTTGCTTGTAACCGGAATGTCTCCAAGTGACTTAAAATACTGTTTAAAACACAAATAGATCATACTTTAAAATGAAACGAAGAAAAAGCACCAACTCCATAACAGCCACAGGAAACTTTGGCAGCATGCTTTGTGAATATGGATTCTATAGTTAGAGATTGTTCAGTTTATTTCACCAGACATGAGTCTTCGTTTTCTAAAGCCAAAGAAGACTTTTCATGTACTTTACTAGGGAAGATTAATTTTCAAGCAGCAAACAAGTGGTTATAAATGCCAGTTGAACCACAAGTGTACTAAAACTAACCACTGCTATGCATCTGTCATCACAACTGAGGACACAGAAGAGTCACTGTGTATATTGGCTGGTGCCACACAACTTCCATAAAGCTGCAATTTGTTCAGCAATCTTCCCTCAAAATAATAAAATATTGCAGTATGTCCTAAGCACATTCACTGGGAAGGAGGGTCCACTGATTACAATATCATTTGTCTCCAAAGAAAGCATGGTGCAATCCTATACATGCTTACTCGGAAGTAAGCTCCACTGAGTTCAGTGGGAATTACAGCTAAGTATGCATAAGATTGGTGCCCAACTGTGTGTTTTTTTCAGGATTACAGACTACTATGGATTAAAAACTCTGCCATCACAGAGCTTCTACACAATTGCTAAATCGCTGAAACTTGAGACCTTGTTCAGAAGGATTCTTACTATCTACCACAGACATTCCCTATTCTTCATTACTTCATACAAACACTTGAGTGGATCCAAAGCGCTGAGCAGGCCTTGGAATAATAGGAGTCAACTCCTAGGGGACAAGGTCCCTTTGCTCCCCCATAAAATATTTGAGGGGGCCACCCTCCAAGTTGATGGACATTCTCATTCAAATAGTGTATGTGTGCTGCATTGTGTGATCAATTATGTGGGCGAGGTTTGCCAGCTCCCCCCATATTTTATTCAAGATGGCACCCCTGATTGGAGTCCAATTGTGGTCCCACAAAACACCTGATAATCCACTCCTGAAGTCTGTGGAACTTTGGGAAGAAGCTTCAACACGATGAGGAGCCTTGTATTAGGAGAAGAAGGGCAGGAAAAAAACGGCCCTAGCAAAGCCCCGATATGAAGGTGGAAGTGATTGTGTATGTCCAAGGAGTTCCTGGTTTCCTCACCATAGTTTTTTAAGTCAAGTTTTAAACATGACCTAATTCTACTTAGCAGGGGCGCTAATGTCTTTAAATAACCAGCATCTGGCTTTGTTGAAAAACCTTGCCCTGAAGTATCTGGCTAACTTTATTATAATTTCTGCCCTCTGATCTGACCTGGAGCAGCACATGTAGAAACACCTGTATGCTACTCAGTGTCTTAAGCCTTATCTTTGATCTTGCCCTCAGGCACCATCCTGGCTATGCTTCAGCAATTAGCCCCTGGCTTTGACCCTCTTCTTCTCCAGTTACATCTTTCTGCTGTGCCCTGCACTTTGGTGCTGGTCCCCAGCACAATACTTGTCTGCCCGGTAGTCTCTGATTCTGTCTTGTGCCCAAACTCTGATCTCAGTAAGTCTAATTCTCATCTTGCCATAGAACATGGCTGCTTTTTGTGCAGGTCAGTCACTCCCACAGTTCTTAGTTCCCTGCAGGCCTCCTCAGGGCTGGCCTTGGAGGGATTCAGTGTGCATCATGCCCAAGAAATCTAATGTGGGCGGCAGGACTGTGCTGCCCCCACTTGCTGTTAATTACATTCCATTTTCTCTCTTGCTCCCTGTGGAGCCAAACCTAAATCAACATTCATTGGGATGTTAAATACTGAGGTATGCTCCTGTCCGTTTAGTGTCCCCCCCCCTCTATGGGTTGGGGAACAGGGTCATGTGATGTGCTAATGCAGCAGGTCCATTTCCTGAAAGGCGCATGGCTCCCGCATGTGGTCTCTGCAGATAAAAATGAAGTTTAATGTGCTTGTTTGGCATGGAAACTGAAGTGGAGTTATTTGCCCTTCATATTTCAAGAGTCCCGGATGGGCTGTGTGTACATTGAAAGGATTCTGCAGGTGGTTCCCCCTGCTGTATTGCAGGGCTGCCCCGAAGAAAAGCCTGAGGCAGAAAAGTCTCCCCTCCCCATCCGTTTACAAGTTAAGATGCATTGAACTCCTGGCCTGTCAACTTACTTTGGCGCCTGAGGCAGAAAACTCCACAGCTGTGTCTCTGTCTTGCTGGCAGTAAAAATGCAATAACTGACAATCTGCTACCCTTTTATGACATCAAAAGCATCTGCCTGTGGGGGCTGTCTCATTCTGCCTGAATTGGGTCATGCACCCAGCCCCCAAAATCTGTGTGTCTGGATGGAAGGAACAGAACCTGAAGCAGGTCTCTTTGGCACCATTGTCTAAAAATACCTGCCTGTCTATTTCTCTCTCTCTTTCTCTCTCTCTCTATATATATTTATTATCTTTGTTAGTTTACAAATACAGTGGTACCTCTATTTATGAATGCGATCCGTTTCGGGGTGCCGTTCGCACCCCAAAAAGTCTGCAAGTAGAGCACTGCTACTGCGCATGCGTGAAGCGCGATAGAGCGCTTCTGCGTGTGTGTGTGAAGCACGCAGATCACTTCTGCGCATGCGCGTGGGGCGAACCCAGAAGTAAACGCTTCTGGGTTTGGCGCGTTCGTAACCTGAAAAGCCGCAACATGAAATAACTGTAACACGAGGTATGACTGTAAGATTAGACTGTCAGAGAACTGGTCCATTGAGCCCAGTGTTGTCTAATCTTGTGTGGCAGCATCTCTATAAAGAGAGCCAGTGTGGTGTAGTGGTTAAGAGCGGTGGACTCGTAATCTGGGGAACCGGGTTCGCGTCTCCGCTCCTCCACCTGCAGCTGCTGGGTGACCTTGGGCCAGTCACACTTCTCCGAGTCTCTCAGCCCCACTCACCTCACAGAGTGTTTGTTGTGGGGGAGGAAGGGAAAGGAGATTGTTAGCCGCTTTGAGACTCCTGAAGGGGAGTGAAAGGCGGGATATCAAATCCAAACTCTTCTTCTTCAATCTTTCCTAATCCTGCTATCTGGGCCCCTTTTTGTTGGACCTGTATCACTGAGCCAAAGCCCTTCCCCTCAGTCTTAGTGTCTGTGTACACATATGTAACTAGACACATTATCTCCCGCCAATCCTAATGGACATCTGCAGTATTCCCCACCACCACCAAGAAAGACCAGCTTCTTGCACATGCTGTTGAAACTGATAGCACTGCAGAAATAGACCATTTAAACTCTCTGTGAAGAGAAGCACAATGCATAATTGTCTAGTGATTTTGTTTGTTTGTTTATATAGACATTCCTGTCCCATTCTTGTTTTGCCTATGAACTACTGAGAGTAACTTTCAATGGCGCAAAACCACAATCGTATAAATTAAAAAATACAATAATAATAATAAT